CCGACACGAGCCAGAAGACCCAGGCGCGCGCGTACCACGGCGGCCGGCGCGGGTCGGCGAAGACCAGCAGCGACTCGCGGAAGTCCACGTCCTTCAGGTGCATGCCCTCGCGCGCCTCCAGGTAGTCGTCCAGGCCCTCGTGGGCGCCGAAGAAGCGCGCGCGCTGCGTGAGGTACGACGCCTCGGCCTCGGCGCTGCCGAAGCTGAAGCACTTGGTGAAGCGCAGCCGCGTGGCCGCGTGCTCCGCCAGCCCCACCAGCTCCTTGGACACGTCGCGGACGCCGTGCGCCGAGTAGTCGAACTCGCCGCGCGCCGTGCGGCTGTCGGCGCGCTCGTGGTACACCTGCGTGGTAGTGTAGGCGTCGCCGTTGCGGTAGCGCGTGATCTGGCGCGTGCGCCGCACGTAGTGGTAGCTCGTGGCCTTCCACCACACGCACGGCGGCGCCTGCTGCAGCCGGCGGATCAGCGCCAGCACCGTGCCCGCGTCGGTGCGCGGCGCCTGGCACGACCGCACGTGGCAGTGCCAGCACTCGGCCAGGTAGAGGAGGTAGAGGAGGGAGACGAAGGCCAGCGGGATGTACAGGTAGCCATCGGAGCAGGGGCTGGCCGGGTAGGTGGGGGGTGGGCCCCCGGCCCCGCGCGCCAAGGCCGCCTCAGGGCCCAGCACCAGCCGCGGCACGGTGGTCAGGCGGCACCAGGCCACCACGGCCCCGCAGGCGTGGATGAGCAGCGTGAGCAGCAGGCACTTCCAGTGCGACTCGCGGCACAGGGAGCTCCCCAGGGTCGGCTTCAGGGGCCGCTGCTGCAGGGGGTGGCAGAGAGAGGGGACCGCGGTGAGGACGGGGCCCGCTGGAGGACCTGGTGCCCCGCGGAAACTGGGGTCAACAGGACCCGAGGCACTGAGCCGCTCGTTGCTAGCCATAGCTCCGAGTGGTGCCGCCCACCCTCCACCCACCATGCCCTGCCGTCTCTCAGCCACCAGCAAGCAGGACACGGCAGACCCATCCCCACCAGTGGACAGCACCTGCACCTAGCTCCTGAGAGACTGAGCTCTGGTGCTTCCTGATTTGCTGCGCCAAATGGGCCATGTCCCCACCGTCTCTGGATGGAATCTCCTGATCCTTGCTGTGGTCTGGGAGGCCAGGGAGGGGAGAGGCCCAAGGGTTGGACCACAGGGGCTTTAAGGAGCTGGAGCCAGGCTGCCAGGGCCCAGTGCCGGCTCCTGCATGACAGTGACTTGAGCAGGCCCCTCAACCGCTCAAACTCCCTGTTTCCTCACCTGTACCCTGGATGGTTGTGTGGGAGGCTCTGGCCCTGGGAATAAACATCTTATGCTTGCCCTGCAACCCCCTCTGGCCCCTTGTTCCACTATGGACAACAGGAGACTTGGGAGACACTGTGAAGTCAATGGAAAAGAGGGAGCGCTGGGCGCAGAGGAGGTGTGAGTCTTGGGATGGGGAGCAGATGGAGGGCCACCCTCCCCTCCCTATCTGTGCTGCGCGGGGGGGGGGGGG